CTCACAAGGTGGTGTCTAAGAATAAGAACAGACCCTCCCCCCCTTCAATAATTTAATCTATGAATTAATCCATCAGGTTAAGCTGTACTGATAAGTAAATCTTACCAGTCCATAAGCAGTGCTTCTATCACCTTCGTCGGTACAGTCAGCTACATAGGCAAATGCTATTGAAAAGGTGACTGCAAACATCCCAGAAACTGAGATCATAGCAAAAAACCACCTGAAAAACAAAGTATACTTTCAGGAAAAGATGAAATACCCACCTTTATGAAGCTTTAGGGCAAATAGGAGCTGCTTAATGGTTATCATAGTTGAACAGTCCTGTAGTAAGCTGTCACCCACAGAAAATGGCGGGGTAACCCTTTAATATAGGTTGACTACTAAATACAGGTTCCACAGAATAGAATTTAACCACAAAAACACCACCTTGTTTTTTTTTTTTTTGTAATGTTGCAACTTTAACTTTCCTTTATTTTTTTCTTCTTTCTCCTTTTTTTTTCCCGTGTATGCACCTAGTTTAATTTATTGTATGTATGCTGTAACCTTTTCCTCTACGTCAGTATATATCTAGTTGTAGTAGTCTTCCATGTAATGAGTTGTGAAATGAAATAAAGCCGTAATAAGGGGAAAAACCCACCATCTTGTCCTAACAGTCATAAGGAAAAAGATAATCGGCAATGCATTGTGGACATTTGAATTCAAAGTGCTAAGATTGATTTCAGGAGAAAAGCATAGAGTCATAACTTACCATGGGTTAAATTGTAGAAGAGGGATAGGTATACAAGTGAAGAAAACAGTAACAAGTAGAAAGGATTTACGTCCCCAAACATCCGAAAGGGCACCAATTAGTGGAGCACACAAAAAAGATAATATTCCCTGAAAAGAAATTGAAATTCCTCATTATTTTGTAAGTGAATTCATAGACTACAAGCAGTCCCTCTTTTACTGTAAAATCTGTCACACAAGTCAACAAAATTCAGTGAAAAAAGCTAGCCTCAATTTTTTTTAAACTTATATTTTTCATTTCAACTTGTGAAACACATTCCACCAATAAGGAGGGAGTATTTGTTGTCTAGCTTTTACATTTATTGAAATCCTGGCAGCATTGAAATGAGTACACGTGTCTTAACAGACTTACACTGAGCACTTAATATTTACATGAGAAAATCACCACGATCTTAAGCAACTTTATCATTGCAAATGCATGTAAAAAATATTCTTCTGTACCTTAACTCCCTGAATTAATCCATTCATTAGAAATGTGTGTTGCTGGAATGTGTTGTGTAGGACCTGCCAGGAACACAAAACCTTTACTTAGAAAAGTCATAAAATGTATTTCTTTACCGAGCTCAAAACTTACAAACCTTCTCATTCTTTTTTCGAACATAATGCTATCTACATTGCTGATCTTAGCAATATGCAGGAGTTATGTCATACATGAACTTTTTAATAGGCCTTGCTCACCATAGAGTCTCTGGGCCTCAGTGGTAGAGCATTGGAGAGCGGAATCCCAAGGTCTGAGGTTCAATTCCTCATGGGGACTCAGAAATTTTTCTTTGTCCCACACTAGTGATGAGACGAAAAACATACTTCTGATATAGTACTGTTTCCAAACTGATCATTTATCAATGCAGCTTGTCAACCCTTTCATTCTTAACATCTCTGTCATAATTCTCCTTACTGTGCCCCCTCCAATTCTCTTGAATTTGGTTTGGAGAATTAAGTTTGGATCAATTAATAATCCCCTAACTGATATTTTTCTTTTCTGCTTCAGTAACCCAGTTTGAAATCAAAAGCAAAATTCAACTGTGCTTGGTTAGCTCATGAACATTTCAGATTGCCACACTGCTGTGCAGGGAGTCAAAGATTCAAGCCCTAGATCAGACCAATGCCCAGAATTAAATTAAAGTAAAACATTTCATATACAGTATGTCCATGTGCCATATGAATTAAACATTGTAGAAGGTTCTCTACTAATAATGAAAATAGTGTTTATTTTAAGTACATGCTTTGTTTTTTTTCGAACATTCACCTCCACTTTGGTCAGATATTGCTTGCATAACCACATCAATACAAACGAACAATATCAACACTTACTGTTGCCTAGTGACCATGATAGAATAAAGTCCACAAAAACAAAAACAGATGCAACATCACAATTATGCAAGCGATCACAAAGTGCAGTTATTGTAAGTGACAGATATATAAAAGATGAAAAATAACATGATCAGGCTTAGACAACAGTTTGTGTCAGGATGGTGAGGTGGCAAGTCCTTTTGACAAGAAAGGTTTGATTTTGTCTGAGAATATTGTTGGTTTGACTGTCTAGGTTAGAGAGAAATTGCTGTATTTGGTTTACAATATCTGAACTCAGCTAACTTCCATAACAGTTCCAGCATATAAAAAATGTTTTTTAGTAGTGGGCAAGATGAGTTGAGTTGTAGGTGGCAGAGGCCAAAGGCCCCTGCCTTCTTGGGGAGTTGGGGGGCATGAAACCCAGAAAACTTTGAAAGTTTCTGCTTCAAATGGTGGTATCCGGTGCATTTGATGGTAAAAATATTTGTGCTTGTGTCTATTCATTGGAGAAAATTATTCCATTTAGTTCTTTGTTTTTTGCTTAAAGTGTAAAATGGTAGAGACTTCAAATTTGTTGTCAATGAATTTCAGTAGAAAGTACAGAGTAAGTAGCAGATATTTTATTGTAGGTGTCAAAATTGCTGGCTGTTGGCACATTTTGACTGGGCTGATGGTTTCTCCTCTCACTCATTGCACAGTACATGAATGTTGTACATGCAAGCTACAGCAGAATTGTAAATGGCACAATTCAGTAGATGTCATACACAGAGCAGTAAAGTTGTGATATGATGAAGTCTATTTAACCCTTTAATTCCCAAGATCTCATTAATTTTATTAGTAATTCTTCTAACTGTCTCCCATACAATTCTTATGATGTTACATGGGGCTCAGAGAATTTGGTGCTGGATCAACTAATAATCGCCTAGTTGATATTTTTCTTTATTCTCATCACTTGTCTGCTTGATGTTGTATTTAATGTTGTAACAAAAAATTCTGTCAAAAGGGTCTGACACTCAGGCTTTGTTTCAATTAGGCTCTGATCTTTTCCATACATTCTATGTTTAATGGCTAGAACAATTTGGCTTGTTAAACCAGGTTGACATAATTAGGATTGGGGGTTTACGAATTATTGCATCACTGTTCCAAGGAAGACACAAAAAATGGTTCACCCTTTAAATCCCATGAGTTACCAAGACAGAATTTCTTCTTACAATGTTCATACTATATCAACCTGATAAGTGATGGGAATATCAATTTGGAAATAATTAGTTGATCCAATACTAAATTCTCTGAACTAACACTATTAGAACTGTATGGTTGACAGTAAGGAGAATTATAAATTAGATCTGGGAGTTAAAGGGTTAACCCTTTAACTCCTACGAGTAACTAACATGTACTGTAACTTCTTCCCATATAATATTCATACATCATGCAACAAATGGGAAAACTCAAACTTATCAAGTAGATGGTGTTTTCTTGATCTTACACTAAATTTTTGTAACTAACTTAAAAGGAAATGTGTAGCAGCTAGAAGGGAGAATTAACAATCAGATCTTGTGGTTAAAAGGTTAAGGCACCATGTTCACTCAGGATATGGTTTTACACAATTTTCACTTTATGCTTCAGTAGAATGGCCAAGTTAACAAAATAATTTCTGCAATATTGCAGGGCGTGAAATTGCGCCTAATACAGGCGCCAATGCGCCTAAATTTTTCACTTTGGTGACCAAATCCTGAAAGTTAGTCGCCAAATTGGCGACCAAAACGTTTCATCACAACCTTACCAAGTGAATTAAAAAGATTTGCAAAGATGAATCCGCGGCAAACTTCCTCGTTAAGTTTGTTTCCAAAACGTAGCACATGCATCTCGATTGATAACCAGACGCCATCTTGAATTTAGATGAGCCTGAACGTTGTATATCATCCATCCTAGTGTCCACTTTGTAGCATGTTAAAGATCTTTTCCCTAACTTAATTTTGGAGGGTCTATCTAGAACGCTGACAGCATAAAGAGAGATTTTCTTTGTCTTTGAAAATGGCGACCAACTTTTTTTGAATTGGCTACCACTTTGAAGAATTTAGGAGCCAGGTGGCTATCAGAAAAAAAAATTAATTTCATGCCCTGTATTGTGATCAGATCAAAAGGTTTTCAAATTGCTAGAATTTGGCTGTAAAGAGGAACCAAACCTCTCTACATGACAAATATCAAAATTTTCAGTCTCAATTTCCTTGTTAACAGATCATTATCAGTTAGAGATTGTATATTGACTACCCAGACAAGAACTTATGGCAGAGGATAAAGGGTTGAACCTATGGAGAGGAGTGTAAAAAGAGGTAACACTTGTGTAGTTCATACAACTGTATTTATCTCTTTTAACTCCCAGAAGTGATTAACAAGTAACTTCTCCCTTTAGTATCCATACATTATTGAGCAAATAGGTAACGAGAATACTCAAACTTAAACAGGTAGAAGTTGTTATCTTGATCTATCACCAAATTCTTAACTAATTTACAAAGGAATTAGTAGAAGCAAGAGGGGAGAATTAACAATCAAATCTTGGGAGTTAAAGGGTTATATGATAAGTTGAATTATACATGCACTTTGAGAGATTCTTAGTTATATTTCTACTGGAAGACAGATGGATTGTTGACATCACCATTAACACCATTTTTCTGTTTAATCATATTAAAAAGAAAGAGAGAGATTCTTCATTGCCATGGGTTTGTAAAATAATAAATCACAGTAGACATCAAAATGTAGTAAAAAGCATCAATGACACACTCAACTGTGCCTCATGCACCATTTGTTTTTTTTTTCCTGACACATTTTGACACCATCAGTGATCCACATGTACATGTATTACTCAACAAACACAAGACAACATGAAATCTGACTTACCCCATACTTAAAAAGTTAGTTTTTCTTCAACCGATGAAAGTAAATCAAGATTAGGAGCATGTAGAGTCTAATTTTGGTCTGTGTTTTACATTTCATGTCACGAGTGTTGTGAAATGGGACAGATTCTTCCCCTAAACATGAGTATCTAGAGGAATGAAATAACTCTCACATAAAAACTTACTGTTAACATAGGTGATGTGAGAAGACCCCAGGCAAAAAATTCCAGGAAGATGACTACTGTGGCATGGTAAACACTTGGTTTTCCAAATCCCTGTAGAGACATTAAGATTTCCAGAATCACTCAATAACTTTATTTAAGTGTCAGTGATATGTAGCCAAGGATAAATTCTTCTAATTTGGGGAGACTAGAATAGGCTTGGAATTATAGAATTAAAAAATACCCAACCTGAATACAGATGAACTTTGACTATCTGGATTTTCCAATTATCTGGATCTTTCAATATTTGGACTATTAAGCCCAGTCCCCACAAGTTTGGATAATTAAAGTTTGACTGTATCATGATAAAATTAACAAATGCCCTTGTAAACATTACAATTAGAGGTTTGAATTTTACTATTTAAATCAGTGAAAACCTATAGTGTTGATATGAAGCCTGCATAATTTAGAGAATTGATGAAAATTACTGTCAAAACTATGTCCATAACACAAGGAGTGCTAAAAATGCAAACACTAAATGAAATAAGCAGTCAAAAGAGATACACAGGAATTGATAATTCCTGTCAGATTCAAACTTTGATTCTTAACAAAGTAGATCTAAGCAATAACATAAAGTAAGAGAAGGATAGAAAAAAGCCACCTCATTCATAAATTTTTCATCACAAACATAAAAATAAAGAGAATCGATTAACTTAACGATGTGAAATAACCACAGAACACAAAGGCAGAACAATTAAGACAATTTCTTTCCCACATCTTTCTTTGACGATAACACATTCATCAACACGAAGAGATCATGGTTACAAACGTTTGAAACACACTCGTAACCTTATGTTGTCTTACGAACGGAAGCTAGTTGACTAATTGCGCTTTTCCTAAAAAGGTTTAGAGGAACATAAGATTTTGAAACATCGAAGAGCTAATAGTCAAGAATCACTAGCAAGTTACCATGACTTTAATGAAAGAACACAAGAATGTACCCTGAGCATAACATTAAGTCATTCTTTTGAACGATCTACAAGGGAATAATTTTATAAGAAGAATAAGAGGCTAGTTTGCCTTTAGACACCGTGACAATATTTCTAAAATACTGCTGCGTAATGTGACAGAAATATGTTCAGATAAACGGCAAAGTTATGTATTTGTTTGCAAAAATGACACGATATAGTTAACATGTCCACACATATAACAAAAAGAGCCAATTGGTAATAGATCACAGCCGATCGCTTATCCATTTCATATTCCTACTGCAGAAAACTCACCGAACCCGTCGGCCCTTCGCGGGAGTCTTTCGATCGCCATTTTCTACTGCCCGTTGTAGGAAGAGAAACCAATCTCTTAAGACGCTTCTTTCCTATGATTACCTTATGCATCTAGGAAACATTTAGTGTTCACTATTTACGCTGACAAAACAAAAATCTCAGATGAATTATTGTTGATATTCGCTGTTCTTTATGAGGCCAGCTGCTCGTCTCACGCTTGGTGCATAAAATTTTATCAATAACCGCTCTCCAATAAGTTCCATGTGGGCTCAGTTTTACCAGTTTCCCTTGCGCACGTCCGTTTCCGAGCAGCTCTTAGCAGCGCGGGAACCAAACAAATGGTAGATATGGTAAATCTGACTTTGAATTGATTTTACATTTTTATCTCCAAAATGACTTCGTCCTCCTGCTGTTGGGTAAAGAAAACAATAAATGGACCTGTCCCAGCTCCAAGGTAAACTAATTTTACGGTTTTGGGGTGTTTCGATGTCTAAATTGCATTTGACGTGCAAACGGATCGAATTTAAATTCCTATGCAATTTTTTTTTTATAGATTCGTTTTGATTTTTCTTAAGGCACTATCAGGCGTACTTAAACGGTATCGTGAACCATGATCTGAGAATTTGTATTCTGGATTATGTACAATCACTTTAAGAATAATAAGTTTGTTTCATGTTGTCGTCCTGAGCTCAGTAGCATTTAATTTTAAAATATTATATTATCGTAGTTTTACGGCGAAGTTTTAAAATACTTAAAAATATTTCAAACAAATTGATCCACAGCACCATCAGTGAGTCTGCAGAGCGAGTGTAATTTCTAGTCCTTGAAAAAATTTACAGGTGCATCTTGCACGAGAATAATCATTGTTTATTAATAGTATATTCTGGGTC